TATAGCATATGCTAAATGATGAGTATTAGAGTCAATCTTTAGTGCATGAATGTGATCCTCCTTTTCACTATGACCCTTTCAACCCCTCTCCTATACCCGGCCCAAAACTATATTTTGTGGGCTCAGTCTCTAGAAAAATACCCAATTACTTTATGAGTTGGAAAAGAGTAGGAATGAGTTGGGTGCTAGATCAGTAGATTGTCATCTTTGAATTTGAATTTCCAAAACACCACCGGAAACCACAAAATAAATAAATAAATAAATAAAAGAGATAATTTGATTGATATCTGTTTTTTTTCCCTCTCCGTCAAGTAAGGCCCCGTTCTTTTGAGCTGCTGGGCAGAGCAGAACAGATTTTATTATTATTATTATTATTATTATTATTATTATTATTATTATTATTATTATTATTATTATTATTATTATTATTATTATTATCTTAAAAACAAAAAGTCATACAACCTACAATAAATTAATGGGAAGCCGAGATACAATATGGGCCTCCACTCCTCTAGTTATAGCAAAGTCTACCCTAGTAAAAATATGAGTTGTAGCACGGGCTCCAATGTCTTGCGTCGTCGAGAACCTTTGAATTCGCTTAAGCAACGCAACAGCCTCCTTCTCTAATTCACCAAAAGAAGAAAAGGAGAAGGGAATGAACCCATATCCAATCGCCTGACAATAAGCCTCATACTTAACCCGCTTCCGATGAGCTGCATCAGCCACAACCCGTCCAGGAATAAAGTCAGATAGCCCTGACTGTGTCAAAGGAGAAGATCCTGTCAAATCTACACAGACATCGGGACCACGATTCCAAGAATAAAGTAACACATCAGCAGGTTTGAGGGCCTCGTCGTTCCCTCCAGACAACCCAATGTCAACGTCTTTCCTTGCTGAAATACCAGAACGATAGCAAACATCAACTAGGGTATCTCGAACATTATTATTATTATTATTATTATTATTATTATTATTATTATTATTATTATTATCTAAACCTACAAATTCAATCAATTTACAAGAAATTGATAGGGAGCCGAGATACAATCTGGGCCCCCACCCCACTATCTATAGTGAACCCGATCCTAATGAAGATGTGAGCAGCTGCACGAGCACCAATATCCTGAGTCTTAGCGAACGCCTAAACCCGCTTCAGCAACGCAATAGCATCCTTCTCTAATTCCCCTAACGGAGAAAAGGAGAAAGGAAGAAAACCATAGCCAATAGCCCTGCAACGTGCCCCATATTTGTCCCGCTTATTATTATTATTATTGTTGTTAATAATAATAATTATTATTATTATTATAATTACTATTATATTTATTATTAAATATTAAATATATTTATTATTAGGAAAAATTGAAAAAAATAATCCCACCTTTTATCTGCTCAAAATAAACCTACCTTTTCGAATTCTAGAAATAATCCCACCTTGTAACTCCATCTTCCCAAAATAAACCTTTTACCGGTTTATGAAATTAGTAACCTGTTTTAGAAGGTGACTTGACACTTGTCACCTTCTAATTGGTCCTAATTTTAAATAATTAAAAAAAAACAATTAAAAATAATAATAAAAAAAACTCCCAGTCCCACGACCACCCACTTCATCGCCACCATCACCACCATCACAACCCGCTGCCGCCGCCTCTTTATCACCACCATCACAACCCTCTGACGCCAGAAAAGCTAGACTAATCGTCGGTAGAAAAGCCGGACCAACCTCCCTCCTTGATTCCATCCCCTTCTCCGATTCCCTCCCCTTCTCAGATCCCCTTCTCCGTTCCCCTTTCTACTTCCCCTTCTCCAATTCCATCCCCTTCTCCCTTCTCCTTCCACTTCCCCTTTCCCGATTCCCACCTCTTGTTGTGTGAAGTAATTCGTCATCGGGCCCATGGCAACGTTGATCGAGTTCTGGCCGGACATGGACATGGTTGCCGAGAAACTCTGATTCGAACAAAGTTTCCAATTCAGGTGGGTTTCGATTAGAAGATTAAGAGGGGAATTGGACATGGCAGCCTCTTCTCTGACAATTTGGGGTGGGGATTAAACCTCGGAGCTTGACAAAACGGAATTAATGGCGGTTGAAATCTTGGGTTAGGTGGGCTTGGCTCAGGTGGTGGGGCAACGCTGCATGTCAGGTGGGCGTAGCTCAGGTGGCTGGGCTAGGCCTGCATCGTGGGATGGTGGTGATGGTGGGAACTGGGAAGGTGGTCAGTTTAGTGGTGATGGTCATGGTGGTTGAATGAAGAGGGGGAGGTGGAAAATGGTGGGGGATAGGCGGTGCCAATGGTATGGTGGGGTGGGCTGGGTTAGGGTATTAGGGATTTTTTTTTTCTTTTTCCTTTGTTTTATTTATTAAAAAAAAAACAAAACAAAAATTTACCTGTTTAAACGGTTGTAGGTAAAAAGGTTCATTTTGAGCAGATGGCCTGGGGTGTTAAGGTGGGATTATTTCTGGAATTCAAAAAGGTGAGATTATTTTGAACAGATGGGCGAAAGGTGGGATTATTCTTTTCAATTTTTCATTATTATTATTATTATTATTATTATTATTATTCAATATTTATTATTTGTAAGAAGGGCAGGGCAGAGCAGAGCAGCTTTAAAAAACGGGGCCTAAGTTGACATGTTAGTTTGTTACTTTGATATGAGTACAATTTAGTAAATCAATAATTACATATAGGTTACTTTGACTATTTTTATGATATGAGTATAAAAAGTATTGTGTAGAACAGACTCACGTGAGTCCGGTCATACAAACAGAAAAAAATAAATGTCAGAAATTAGATAATAATGCTAAAATATTAAGTTATAAATATCAGCTTTTAGATTAAAAGTGTCAGGATTTAGATAATAATGGTCGGATATATGATTATAATTATCATATAATAGATTATAAGTGTCAGATATTAGGTTTTAATTGTCAAAAATTAGATTAATAGTCAGAAATTAAATTATAATTATCAGATATTAGATTGTAATTGTCAAAAACTAGATTATAATTATTATATATTAGATTAAAAGTGTCAAAAATTAGATTATTATAGTTAGATATTGGTTTATAAGTATCAGATATTAGACAATATTGATCAGAATAGTTGAAATAGGATTGTTGTCGTCTACCACTGCATCTTCATCCAGCCAGACAACTATGAGGAACTTCCCTAATTTCTCAACAAATAATTAAAAGAAAATCTCCCCCTTTTCATTAGCCAATATGTTTGAAAGGTAGTTGATGGGTTGTATATGTTTTTTATCCCCAAATGATTTAAGTGCCTTTTCCATTTTCTGTAACTGATTTTGCGTTTCTCTATCGGGGAATGGGTGGGGGAGGGTCGCCGGTGCCGGGGGATGGAAGGGGAGGTGGTCACGCGGCCGCTGACAAGTGGCTAGATAGTGGCAGTGGCAATGGGTGGGAGATGGGTGTGTCAATGTGTGCATTCATAAGAGGACCTAGGGGTGGCCTGCCAAGGCCATGGCCTGACCCATAATCTTAAATGATTATATATAATTCAAGTTGTAGTATAATACAATATATTGATTTGGCTAAATTGGTTCCGTGCTACCATTTTGTTCCAATTGGTCTGGAGTTCGACCCCAGTAGCTTACAAAATTCAGCATTCAATTACTCCCTCCGTTTCTTATTTCTTGCAACAAAGGGGGGTTGCACATTTCCCAAGTCAAAACTTTTAAGGGAGTAAAGCATAACTTAGGGCATGTTCTCATTACGTTTATTTTCAGCTCAATTCAGTTCAGCTCCTAATTTCCTTCTCTTATAAAATATTCATTTCAGTTTAGTTTAATTCAGTTCAGTTAAGTTTAGTTCAGTTCAGTTCAGTTCAGTTCAGCTGAGTTCAGTCTATGAGAATAGACCCTTAATCCCATGTGATTAAGTTTTAAAAAGGAGGGAAGTAAAAGGGACAACCTTTATTTTCATATCATTCACATGGGGTGATTTTAGGAGGTTATACTTTTCCCTCCCAAAATTTCACCAAATTTTAAAAACTTAGTTTTCCATATCAATTTTTTTCCCTCCACTTACTTTTCACAAGCAAATGTGGGTATAGATTGTTCAAAAGACAACCAGCAATTCATAAATTCATTACATTACCATTTTCTACTCCCTCCTAATGAATACATTTCACCTTAAAATTCCAAAAGTTAGCACTATGCAAGTTCTAAACCTACCATAATTACCCACAACCTACATTCCTAAATCTAATTAGTGCTAAATTAGGGGCAACATCTTCATTTTGAAATCTTCCAAAAGCTGGTTCAGTTTGAGTTGTCCAAAAAGTTGCATCCTCCACTTCATTACCATTGCAAGACCTGGGTCAGAACAAGGTAGTATTTGTCAATGGATATTGATATTGAAGAATTTTTTTCAATAGAACAATTACTAGGTGAAGAACAACAACCAATATCCAGTGATTCATCACATTCAAGTAGTGATTCAGAGGATGAATATGCTGCAGAATAGGCATACTCTCAGATTTTAAACAATCAGCAAACAATCCAGCAAGGAGAGAAGAGGAGAGACCTCACCATAGAACAGAATAGGCAAATCATGGATGCCATTCTGTTACAGATGCAAGGAGGTAGGTGAAATTTCAAGGGGAATTTTTTATCACAACAAGCAAGAAAATTTGACATTCATAGATCAACAATGTCTAGGTTATATGCAGACACTAAGAAGCAAATGGCCTAGGGGAATGTCATTGATGTCAAGTAAAAAAAACTTGGCAGAACTAGTCCCAAACCCAAAGAGATGAATGGTTACAATCTGTCCCATTATACAAGAGGAAAATAGAGAGCAGCTATGCTGGAGCACTGAATGTTTCACATTCAACAATTCACAGATTAAGGAAGAAAGGAAGACTTAGGACTCACACAAGCACAAACCATCTTACATTAACATCCAACCATAAAGTGGCAAGGTTAAAGTGGGTTTTAAGTCACATAAATCCAATTCCAACTTAAGGAGACCCAAAGTTTGTTGCATGCAAGAAGTCATTCACATTGATGAGAAATGGTTTTACTTGAACCCAGAAACCAGAAAGTTCTATCTGCTTCCAAAAGAGGAAGATCCCTACAGGTGTCAACAGTTAAAGAGGTTTAAGGTGAAGGCCATGTTCATAGCAATGATAGGGAAACCATTGTATGCAAGAGATGGGACTCTATTACATGATGGAAAGTATGGTATATTTCCACTTGTCAAGAAACAGTTGGCAAAGAAAAAGAGCAAAAACAGAGAAGCTGGAACATTGGAGACTAAGGTTGTACAGAATATCAACAAAGAAGCAATCAGAGAAATGCTAATGAAACACATCATCCCTTCAATACATCAACAATAGCCACAGAATGTACCTAAAAATGTCAAAATTCAATGGGATAATGCAAGGCCTCATCAAATTCCTAAAGATGAGGAATTTATTGCTGATTGTCATGCAAATGGTTTCAATATTGAAATGGTGTACCGACCAGCACTGTCTCCTGACTTGAATGTGTTAGACCTAGGGTTGTTCAAAGTCATTCAATCCCTCCAATACCAAGCCTTCCCAACAACTTTGGATGACTTAATCAAAGAGGTCATCAATGCATACAATGTATTTGAGGCTAAGGCCAACAAGTATATATGGCTAACACTACAGTCAGTGATGATAAAGGTACACCTTACGTCCCTTTTTTACATTCTTACTTTCCTTTTTGGGTATTCCAAAATCACATTCCTCATTTTCTTTTTTAGTAAGTATTTTTTTCCAAATATTCCAAATTATCCCTCTTTTTCTGTTTTATAATTAATGCTCACCCTTATTTCCCCCTAAAAAAATTCAGAATCCTTGTGCCTAAATCTAGATGAATATGATTGGTTCTTAATTTTCCAATAGGACTATGTTATTGGTCCTTTTTTTATTTTTGCAAAGGATTGATGACATGGCATCATTAAATATTAATCTATCTTTGTTTACTCAAAGACATCATTTAATGTTTTGTACTTCCCATTTTTTTGTTTTGTTGTTATTTGTTTTATTCTTAGTTCCTTAATTCCCTTGTAATTTTACAAACAGGAATGTAAAAAAGGGACGGAGGGAGTACTAGAAAAGCAAGGAGGCAATAACTTCTCTCCACCTCATATGAAGAAGAAGAAGTTGTACAGATTAGGGGTGCTTCCCAAACACCTACATGTTCCAAGGGAGCTGATTCATCAAGTTGTGACTTATCTAGACACCATGTTTATCCCAACAACACATGCAGCAGATCAGAGGAAGAAGCACACATGGAAGTAGATGCTGACCGAAGAAATGACAATACAAGGAGCCTAACTTGTGTACACTGACTGCCACACATAACCTTCACAGTATTTTGAAGACTTTGGTAAGAAGTATTGTGTGTTATTATTCTGTGACTTTCTTTTGTTGTAGTTATGTACTTAATGCTTAGGTTATTTGTATTTTGATCAATCACATTAAAGACATGTAAGGCAATCATGTATAGACCTGACAATCCTAACCCAGACCCGATGACCCGACCCGAATGACCCGACCCATGACCCGAAACCAGTGAACCAAAATTGACCCAAAACCCGAATTAACCCGACCCGACTCATACCCGACCCGAAGTGGAACTGACCCGACCTTGACCCGAAACCCGAAATGAATTAACCCGAAACGACCCGACCCGAGATGACCCGACCCAAAGTTGACCCGAGACCCGAAACGACCCGACCCGAAGTTGACCCGAGACCCGAAATGACCCGACCCGAAGTTGACCCGAGACCCGAAGTTGATCTGACCCGAAAATGACCCGACCTTTAACTTCTTTTAGTAAATAATTATATAAGTTACTACCTCCGTTAACTTTTATTTGCAATTTTGGAATATTTTATATCTCACAAATAATACCCCAAAGTTACAAATAAAAGTTAACGGAGGTAGTATAAAAAATTTATATTAGGAAATTATACATTAAAATAGACCCAAAAACATCTTACATGACTACATTGACTTTCATATAATAGCTAAAGAAGATGGTCAAAGTGAGATGTGTGAATAGTGTAAAATGTCAAATCGTTAAGAGATTTGGGACGAAGGGAGTACAAGAATAATTCAAAGAAATTATTACAACAATGACAATGATAATAAGAGTACGTATTAAAACTAAGATCAATAAGAGAGTGAGGTATAACTCAATTAGTTCTTCTTAGTTTTAGGAGATCCTGAAAGTGATTCTTAGCCTAAAGTTCTAAAAAAAACAAAAAAAAAAGTTAATAAAAGTCAAACAATTACTATAATCCATGAAAAAATAGCCTTAATAAATATAGAGAGTTTTTCGTCAAAAAATAAATAAATATATACAGAGTTGAATTTAACCCAATGAATCACCCGAATATGACTCGACTAGAAGTTGACCCGACTCGAAGTTGACCTAGAAATTGGACCCGAAAATTGACCTGACCCGAACTGACTCGACCCGAAAATTGACCCGACCCGAACTCGACCCGAACTGTTGACCCGATACCCGACCCGACCCGATTATCAGTCGACCCGAAGTCAACCCGAAACCCGAAATGACCCGAACTTGACCCGACCTGAAATGACCAGACCCATACCCGACCCGAATGACCCATTTGCCAGGTCTAGTCATGTAATGTTAGGGGCTCTTTATTTTGAAATCATGGGTGTACTGTTTAACCATTTGGTATCATGATATGAATGTTGGTTTTGTAAAGAACAAGTATTGTTTAACCATCAGCAAGGGTATGCATATACCAAACAGTTGCTTAATGTAGTTACCTCAACACCAAGGCCATATGACCATAGGTGGAGCAAATCTAGCACTAGCAACTATGATTCAAAAGATTCCCTTCATCATTTGGCTTTATCTAGTCAGGCACAAAGGGACATTAACTAGGGGGGACTCAATCACACAACAAACCAATACCAAACATACAAACATAGAGCTCTTTCATTAACATGTCATTGAGAACATAGTAGGGACTCAAAAAACCATAAGGCAACATATTTCAACACCATAACCAAGTCAAAATACCATCACTCATAAGGGGGGTTGCATACCAAACAGACAAACATAGTGTTCTCTCATTAACATGTCATTGAGAACATAGTAGGGACTCATAATACCATAAGGCAACATATTCAACACAAACACCCCTCATCACTCATCAACATAACATTCCCCTGGCCATTGTCAAACCAACATAAAAGGCAGCACGTAACAACCAAAAAAATCATAAAGAGGAACCACCCAATACAGAGAATATTATCAACCAAAAAAACACAACATTGATACAGGGACTCATACCACACAACACATGCAACATATTAACAACTACAAAAGCAAATAAACTTGATTAAGGGTGAAGAAAGGTTATACGCTGCAGGATTAGTTGTCAGCGAACCACTCAGGGTGGACATCCCTCAGAATATCTTGGACGCCACCATGCTTAAGTGTATGATCACAGTGGGGTTCAAGTTTGGGGTAATTCTTGAAATATTCCCTACAGTTTTTGGCGACTCCACTGGGGACGATTTCTATTTTAATGCCTAAAATTTATTTTGGCAATTATTTTGAATGAGTGGATGAGACTAAAAAAGTTCTAAGTATTTCATGTGCGTAATTTTGATTAACATTATTGTCATATGCATTAAAAAAGGTTCTCATTGGAAAGACCATCCGTAATGAGTCAAAAACATAGGATTTTTACGCGTAGGAAATTTGAGAAATATCTTTCACAACTAGAATCGAAATAATACTGCGAAAACTGGAAAATTTTAAGAACATAGAAAGCTGCTGAGGCATGTAGGAACTAGCGTCTAGAAAACAAAGCTTGTCGATGAAGATATGGCTCTGTCGCCATGTTGTCGTCTGGCGATAGAGCTTATATCCTAGCGACAGACTCTGTTGTCTGGCGCCGTGTTCTTCCAATACCGAGCCAGAAATCTGCCTTCTTGTTTTGACTAGTTCTAGCACTATTGGCTCGATTCTATTTCCTGATTGAGTTTTTCTCTCTTTTTTGAAACCTATATGCGTTCTACATATGGACATAACCCTCTAGGAATTCATGCTCCATCTACCTGATTGAATGCTCTGAGCAACAAAGGGTACATCCGAGAATGTTGAATTCACCAAACCATGGAAGCGAGTTTAACTCGTGGGGTCCTATCCACACGCGCCAACCCTTCCAACGGTAAGGCTTCCGCGCGGTGCATTTGGACTCATAACCATGGACCCTCTTTAACTAAACCCATATCCCGGACTTTAGAGAACTAGAGCCATGGTCAGGTTGCAAACTCATTGCATCATATTGTGCCTACTTGACTACTTGTGCATTATTTGTTGTGCATACTTTATGTGTTTTTCCTAACCGTTTGTTTGACTTGTGTTTAAGTCTAAATTAACTGATTAATGACTAAAAGAATTTGCCTAATTAATTAATTAATTAATTTGAGTAATTAAAATTTAATAAATTAATAAAAAATAACCTAGTACGACTTTAGGCCTGTCCCCGTAGAGTAAAAATACTGAAAGCAGTCCCAGATTAATGTTCTAGTAATGGCGCAAATTTTGGGCTGCAACGCCGTGCGACAACTCTGTCGTCTGGCGCTGCATTGCAGGGTGCGGCGATAGTTCAGTTCTTTGCTTGAGTCATCACGACGAGTCTATTTAAACATTTTGGAAATTTTGTTAATGGCAGTAACCTTATTTAGTCGTAAATTAAGTCTAAGCACTTAGTCTCATGGTAATAAAAAAGTCTTAACATGTCACCCACACTCACTAGTCTTAGCACACACTTTGCCTATGTAACCATGACCATGTCTTAGGTTCATGCATGAGTCATTTTCCGTCTTTCGAGTGAGGGGGTCCAATCTATTCCCATTCTCTTCCATGTTGAATAGAGCTTAAGTCAAAATAAATAAAAAAAAGAGAGAAAACTTACTCCTAACTTCCTTTTCCTCAGCACTTGATCAAGGAGAGAAGAGCACTTAACCAAGACAACACTTTTGATACAACATCACTTTTCACGAAAAGGGTTGTAACAATGGCCGGCGAAAAATAAATTTTCTTAAGTAATACTAGTGAAAGCTAATCAAGTCTAGAAGAGGATGTTCAGGAATTACGAAATACCGTTGTCACGCTTATGGGTGCAATAGAAGGATTAAGAGATTGGATAATGGTTATCGAACAACATTCTCATTATCGACACCATATATACCATGATCACACTGCCGAAGGACGATTCATCCTCAAAGATCGCGTTCAAGCCCTCATTAATTCAAGTCTCCTCCATGTTCCTCCAAGCAACAAAAAGGCCAAGATATGTAACGATAACAACAGTGGTTGGAAATGAAAGAAGAATGATTATCCTTATTCTTCCGAAAACACCTACTCTAGTAACAATGTTGGTACTTTCGGCCTTAATGAAATCTTAGCCATGGATAATCGAGGATTTAGAAAGCAAATAAGAAAGGATTTCACCCCTATTGGAATTAGCTACGATGCTGCTTTCGATCAACTCCATGCCAAGGGACTCATTACTCTTATTGGACCCATTCAAGATCCCCCACCTGAGAAGAGATTGCCTAGTTGGAACCCAAATGTACATTGCAAGGACCATCAAGGTAGGGGTCATACTATTGAGAGTTGTTGGAAGCTAAAGGAAGCAATCCAATATTCGGTCGACAATAACGGGCTTCCAATACCTCCAGTCGGCAAGGACTAGTGATGATAAGGTGAGGGACAAGAGGCAAGCTTCAACGACAAGATTTCGTGATCTCTTTTCTATTTCTTCTTTTCCTTTCCCCAATAAGTCTAGCATAGACACCTTTTATTCTCTTTAAATTTACTTTGTATATTTTTTTCTTTTTCCCCTTTTAATAAAATGAGCATTTCTTTCCTTGCATATGATCATTGCATTGCATTGCATAAAAAAAAAAAAAAAAAAAAAAAAAAAGAGCCAAACTAAGCATAGGGTATACCAATGATTTGAGGCAACCCTTGTAGACCATCATATCATCTTTACCCTTTCAAATATACAATCCTTTCTAGACCACTTTGAGCCTCATATAACGATTGACTTTTCTTTCTTCAACCCACATCTACCTAGCCTTGGATGGGACAGTGTGCATCTTATGCAATTTTTTTTAAAAAAATCTTGAGTGATTTCAAAAGAGAAAAATAAATAAAATATAAATAATAAAGTGTACAAAAGGGCAAGTGTTCCAATGTCTTTAATATGAACATGTCTCAGATTGTGTTTCTTATCGAG